TGGCAGGAAGTTGGATCAAAAGCAGAGATGAGACTCAATCCCAGGCACAATCCCAGTGGCAGCTTAACCTGCTGTGCCAAAATGCTCATCCTGAGATGCTTTCCTTTAAACAAAAAAGCTTCTGCTGATATTTTCTACTGATTTGGAAGGGACTAACAGGCAGAAAAGATTGGAGAGAAAAGGGATTAAGTAGAAGCACGAAACAGTAAAGAAGAAGAGTTTTCCAGTTTGTTTTAATTAGTTTGTTTGTTACTATCTGGAATATCAGACAGAATCATGGGTAACTGTATGAATAAAAACTACTTTCTGTGCCCAAATATAAAGTGCTTCTGGATTCTCCATTGTTGAATAGGATTCATATCATGGATTATGTCTCACCTCTCCCTTTCCAGTCCTTTTCTTATGACTGCTTCTAAATACAGTTCCATTATCTGCAGTTTTACTTACTCTCAGAAAGAAGATGAGTATAGTACAATAACATATTTTGAGAAAGTGATCACATGCACATAAATTGTACAAAATATTGTTATAATTATTCTATTTTTTGTTGCAAATTAAACTTTATCACAGATAGTTCTGTATAGAAGGAAACATCATACATAGGGTTCAGAACTACCCATGGCTTCAGGCATCCATGGGGATCTTGGAACAGATTTCCCATGGATAAGGGGGCATTATTGTCCTACATTAAGCTTTAAAACCAATACTTGATCCCCATGATGAAAATCCCAACTAATGCCAAGTAAAAACATGGGAATCCTTAGTTCTCATTTCTTTTTTTGGAAATGCATTTCCGATGCTATCAATGTCTTACTCACGAAGTACACAAACAAAAGAAAAATCTAAAGCTAAAATGGTGTGAGGAACATAAGTAAAGGTAACTTGGAAATCTCCCCCTCAAACCTAATTCATTCATTTTTTGAGGGAGTATCAAGATATCATATGATTTAGTGAATTTAAAGAATAAGTTTGTTTTTGGGCAAAAGAGAAAAACAAAAGAGTATCATGTACTCACCTATCTATATCTATGTATCTATCTACCTCTGTCTATCTATCAATCTATCTATCTATCTATGAGACAAAAAGACCTCTCATCTGTTGGTTTATTCTCTAATCACCCAGGAGCCAGGAACTCAATCCAGGTCTCTGTTAGTGGCAGAATGGGAGGAATCAACTACTTGAACCATCAGCTTCCTCCCAGGGTTTGCATTAGTAGGAAGCTGGAGTCAGGAGCCAGAGTCTGGAACCAATTTCAAGCACTCTGATTCAGGATGCTGGTATACCAAGAGGCGTCTTAACCACTGTGCCAAATGCTCACTTCCATTTATTCATTTGCAAAATGTTTATTAAATGTCTGGCAAGTATCAAGGATTGTAAAATAAGACATAGGTAGAGGGGCCAGTGCTGTTGTGTAGTGAGTAAAGCCGTGCCAGCAGTGCAGGCATCCCAAACGGGTACCGGTTCGAGTCCCGCCTGCTCCACTTCCAATCCTGCTCTCTGATATGGCCTGGAAAAGCAGTGGAAATTGGCCCAAGTCCTTGGGTCCCTGTACTTACATAGAAAACCAGGAAGACTCTCCTGGTTCCTGGCTTCAGATCAGCTCGGCTCTGGCTGTTGCAGCCATTTGGGAATGAACCAGAGGATAGAAGATCTCTCTCTCTCTCTCTCTCTCTGCCTCTGCCTCTGCCTCTCTGTAGCTCTGCCTTTCAAATAAGTAAATAAATCTTAAAAAAAAGAAATAGGTAAAAACCATCTCTTTCCTCTGTGGGTTATTCTCTTGAAGAAGACAGATAATAGTGACCTTTCCAAATATGTTTCTATAGCTAATGGTCAAGAGGCTAAACAAGATCTTTTTAAAAGTTTTAATATCCTGCATTTTATTTAGAATAATACTAAAAAATATTTAACAACCAACAAAGCAACCAACTAATCAAAACAGGCAGAAGCTGCTAAGCCATGTTAACCAGTACTGGCTAAACAGCAACCCTGATTATAGATGTTTCTCAACTGACAATGGGGTTATACTCTGATAAATCCATTGTAAATCAAAAACACTGTAAGGTGAAGATGCACACAGCACACCTAACCTAGGGAACATGCTAGCTTAGCAAGAGCACGTGGAAGAGCATGGGTTGTTTCCCGTCTTGATCAAAAGTGCTGATTGGGAACTAGGGCTGCTACTGCTGTCCAGTATTGCAGGACAGTATGGTACCACACATGGCTAGCCTGGAAAAGGACCCCAATTCACAATTCAAAAAGTATGATTTCTTCTGAATGCATATCACTTTCACACCATCACAACATCAGAAAACTGTAAGTCAAATCATCGTAAGTTGGGGACATTTGTATTAATGTAGGAATTTCCACAATATTAAGTAGAATGATAGTGCAAAAATAGATTATTCTAAATGAAGCTCTTTAAAAGTTGTTAGGAACAGATGCAAAGTCAGTTTAAAAACATAAACAGAATGGGAAAAACAACTATATTTTTAGATTTTGGTATTTTTTCATTAAATTTCAGGGTTAAAAAATACTGTTCTGACAAATAAGACATTGACATGATTAAAAAGATCAAAAGGTTTAAAGGACTATTCAGTGAAAAGAGTTATTTCCATCATGTCCCAGGACCAGAATTTTCTTCCCTGAAGGAAACCAATGATTACCCCTTTTCTTGTGCATCCTTCCAGATATAGATATATATACATATATATATATATATATATATATAAACTTGGGTTAGTAAATATCCTTAGCCTGGGGCTTAAAGAACAACAGAGAAGAGTTCTGGTGAAAAACTAACATAAATAAAAATAACTAGACCTGTTATTTTTGTGTTAGTCTTTAGCAAGATGAGTTTCAATAACAGGTAAAAAAAGGCATCCGTCTCCGGTCATATTCCAGGCAAAGATGCTCTCTCAAGGAAGCTGGCTTTGACCTGACACTTTAAAGAAAAGATACTTGAGATAACACATAATCATGTTAGAGAAACCCAATTATAGGGTTTTGGGGATCTATTTTAAAAGTTGATAAATCATACACCATAAAATTCATCATTTTAAAATATATAATTGGTTGGATTTTAGCATATTCATAAGATCATGCAATCGTCACAACTATCCAATCCCTGGACATTTTTATTACCCACAAAAGAACCCTTTATCCACTACAGTCATTCTCTATTCTTCTCTTCCTCATTCCCTGGATTCCACTAATATATTTTTCTATCTCTGTAGATTTGATTATCCTAGACATTTCATATAAATGGAATCATATAGTATGTAGCTTCTGTGTCTGGCTTCTTTCACTTTGTGCAATATTTTCAAGCTTCATCCATGTTTTAGCATGTACATATCACTCCATTCCTTTTTTTAACCCTTACTTTTAAAAATTGTGGTAAAACAAACATAAAATTTACAATTTTAACTATTGTCAGTGCACTCATCTTTGACATTAAGTGCATTCAAACTGCTGAAATTATGATACATTAAATAATAAGTCCCTATCCGTCCCCTGGTGACCTGTTTCTCTTTGGGTATGAATTTGCTTATTCTGCCTACTGCATATAAGTGCAATCTTACAATAGTGTCCTTTTGTGTCTGGCTAACTTCACTGAGCACAACATCATTGGAGTTCAACCATGTTGTAGTACATGTCAGAATTTCTTTCCTTTTTCTCAATGGATAATATTCTGTCATATGGATAGACCATACGTTGTTTATTCACTCATCAGTTGACGGACATTGGGATTGTTTACACTTGACAATGAACAAAGCTGCTATGAACATTTGTATGCAAGTTTTCTATGACTTGGATAGTAGAAAATACTGAACGGTTGGGACTGTAAAGGAATTTGATAAGTAATATTACTTATAGATAAACTTTGATTGTCACCCAGGGATGGGCAATGACCAGTGGGACTCTGTGTCTCCCCATTTGAGTAACAAATTAGAAAGTCCTCATTTGTGACAAAGGATAGCTGTATCTTGTTAGGTAAAAGCATTAAGTTGTACGGTTCTCATATGGAAGTTTTAGTGTGTGTACAAGGGTGTAGACGGAGGCTTATTAGCAAAATGGATCAACAGTGCTGCTTACTGAGCTTTTGTCTTTAAGATCCAAACCCAGCTTTCTCTACTCTGTTTTGTGAGTATAGAAGGCTGGGGCTCTAGACACGTACAACCATATTTCTCCCTTTACAGCTGGCTCCCCGTCAGATGCTGCCAGTGAAGGGAGGCACTGGAGGAATACCAAAGGAGAAGCAATGCACTCGGCTGCCGGCACCAGAATCAGAAAACCCAGGTGGCACCAGTGAATTCTCAGTCCCACTTTTCCTCATACACCATGCTTCCTCAGCTATGCCAGAATTGGCTGGCTGTGACGTCAGATGCCTGACTCTGCCAGGGGGCTGGAGGTCCTCCTCTGAGCTCCTGAGGTCCCAAGAAAGCTCATGATAGCTGCTTCCTGCAGTTCCATCTCCGCAGAACCTCAGTGTGCCCTTATTGTCTTTACTGCTTTCCGTTACTCATTTTACCAAGCCCTTTCATTAAATTACACCTGCTGAAATGACATATGACTTCTGTTTCCCTGACTGAACCTTAACAGATTCATTCAGAAAGCACCAGTCATGCTTCTCCGGAAATGAGCAAGTCCCCAGGCCCTGTGACTGTGCTACAGACTGAATGCTTGTGTCTGTTTTGACTGTGGCAAAATCCTAACCTGGGGTGTGAGCAATAGGAGGCGAGGCCTGTGGGAAGTGATCAAATAAGGAGCAAGTAGTGCGCTTACAGAGACCCCTTTCCTCTCGGGCTATGTGACAGCACAGCAAGAAGCTGACTGCCCTCGCCACACCCTGACTCTGCGGCACTTTGTGGATTTCCCAGCAGCCAGAACGGTGCAAAATAAAAGTCAGTGGTTTCTAAGCCACTAAGTCTATGGTTTCTGTTATAGCAGCAGGAACAGACTAAAACATATAATTCAGAAATAGGCATATTTTAAATGCTTACCCATTTTCCAAGCAGAGCTCTTCTTTCTTCAAATACCTATAGAAAGAAAAAAAGAATAGGGTGATTTCATATATCATGGTCCTAAATACCCATTACAAGAAAGATATCAGTAAAGGGTTAGTGAACGACTACTCATTCTATCAACTGAATATGAAAAAACCATTCCTGAGATGATAGCTTATTCATTTTAAAATTGGGAAGATTGTTTTTAAATTTATTTATTTTGGGACTGGCATCGGGACATTACAGGTAAATCTGATGTCTGTAGTACACCATCCCATATGGGCGCCAGTTCAGGGCCGGGCCGCTCTATTTCCAATCCAGCATCCCATATGGGTGCCGGTTTGAATCCCAGCTGCTCCACTTCCCATCCAACTCTCTATGGTCTGGGAAAGTGGTAGAAGATGACCCAAGTGCTTGGGCCCCTGCACCCACATGGGAGACCCAAAAGAAGCTCCTGGCTCCTGGCTTCAGATCCTCTCAGCTCTGGCTGTTGTCACCAATTGGGGAGTGAACCAGCAGATGGAAGACTTTCTCTCTCTCTCTCTCTCTCTCTCTGCCTCTGCCTCTCTGTAACTCTACCTTTCAAATAAAATAAATAAATATTTTTAAAGAATAGTTCTTTTAAAGAAGACTAATCAGAAAGATGGGGCAGTCATTTGGCACAATGGTTAAGATGCCACCTGGGGGTGGGCGGCACTGTGGCATAGCTGGTAAAGATGCAGTGCCAGCAACCCATATGGGAGCTGATTCAAGTTCCAGATGCCCCACTTCCGATCCAGCTCTTGCTATGGCCTGGGACAGCAGTGGAAGATGGCCCAGGTCCCTGGGCCCCTGCACCTGTGTAGGAGACTCAGAAGAAGCTCCTGGCTCCTGGCTTCAGATCGGCCCAGCTCTGGCTGTTGCAGCCATTTGCGTAGTGAACAGTGGATGGAAGGCCTCTCTGCTTATGCCTCTCTGTGACTCTACCTTTCAAACAGATGAACAAATCTTTAAAAAATGCCACTTGGGATACCTGCATCCCTTATTGAAGTCCCTGACTTTGAGTCCCTGCTCCATTTCTGATCCAGTTTCCTGCTAATGTGCACCTTGGGAAGCAGAATTTGATAACTCAGGTAGCTGGATCCTTGCCATATAGAAGACCAGGAATGACTTCTGGGCTCCTGGCTTTGCCTGGCCAGGTCTCAACTATTGCAGGCACTTGGGAAGTGAACCAGTGGATGGGAAACTGATCTTTTATCTGTCTGTCTCTCTCCCTCTTGCTCTCGCTTTCACTTTCTCTCCTCTCTGCCTTTCAAATATTATTTTACAAAAAAAGAAAAAATGCAATTGTAAGGAGAAATCAATTTTAGAATTTGAAAGGAGATTAAAAACACAGGAAAAGAAAGATTGCACTTCTGAAATGTCTCAATATTACTGTCATAAGGATTTACAAAATGTACAGATGAGCAGCTCCATCCATATCTCAGTGTATACTCATATCAGTGGTGTCCATTATACATGTGATTTGTAGGAATTAGAAATTTGCATGTATACATCTGGGCTTGCCACTGAGTATCTGTAAAGATTTATTATTACTATATACTTTCTTTTTTAAAAAAAAGATTTTATTTATTTATTTTACAGGTAGAGTTACAGACAATGAGAGAGAGAGAGACAGAGAGAAAGGTCTTCCTTCTGTTGGTTCACTCCCCAAATAACTGCATTGGCCAGAGCTGCGCCGATCCGAAGCCAGGAGCCAGGTGCTTCTTCCTGGTCTCCCATGTGGGTGCAGGGGCCCAAGGACTTGGGCCATCTTCTACAGCTTTCCCAGGCCATAGCAAGGAAGAGGAAGCAACGGGGACTAGAACCGGTGTCCATATGGAATGCTGGTGCCACAGGCAGAGGATTAACCTAGTGCACCATGGCTCCAGCCCCACTATATACATTCTAGGACAGAAATCACTCTCATTCATCTTGATATCTCTAGCGTAGAGTGCTGTGGATAGCTCAGTACAGGTCTGTTGAATCGAGTGGCTGTGGTTGAGGAGACTGAGTATCCTCCTGGTACTGCAGTGCCCATGTATTCATACTATTGGCGTCTAGGTGTTTTTCTGAGCATCTGTGCACATGAGCATTACAGCAAGTGAGGAAGGGAAGCCTAACGTGGGTATGCTTGGCAGAGGAAGGGTTATGAGGAGAAGAAGGGGAAGAGAGAGTAATGAACATATGTGAACGTCTTTCTCACGCCAATGCACATACCCTCTGTCAGCTTTCAAAATTGGGATCGATGTTTTCCCTTCCTGTTGGCACTGCCTAAATTCTCTAGCACTGTGAGAATGTTCCTCCTCAGAGAGGTGGTGCAGGCCTATTTCTTCTCTTTTTGTGGAGGAGGATCAGAGGCTGTTTTTATGCTTCCGACAGATAATGCTTTCTTTCCCTTTTTAGACTCTCAAACTCTAGTTGCCAAGTGACTACAAAATGGGAATTGAAATAATTGCTTCAACAACTGCCTCAGGACCAGTGAAATATGAATTTGTGTCCCTGGCCAGGGACTCCTGCTTTATAGGGAAATACTTTTTGCACATTAGAGAAGAAGAAAATGAAGACCCTTCCCCCCAGTTAACTGCCACCTGCTACTAGGACCCTCAAGTAAAGGCCACGGGTAAAATCAGAGTTTGCGTTTGTAAACAGAAGAGAACCTATACAACACAGAAGATTCAAAAATATCGATTCAAAAATTTCCTGGACTCTTTCAATCACCTATCGCCCAACTCGCATTACCAGTGTTGTCATCTTTCTCATCTGTTCCATTTCAACTCCCTCTCCATTTACAGCTCATGTTCCACTTAGACTTTACAGTTTTGTTTTTGCTCTCTGTTGGTTTTTATTAATTTTATCTTCCCAAGTGGATGACAAGCACTTCCTTTTGCATGCTCTATAGAACCAGCAAGTACAGATTCCAAGGAAGGCCCTCAAGAAACATCTGGGGATTGAATAATAACAACAGAAAACTTCAAAGTCCTGAAACTTCAGAGCTATAAGAAAATCTAAAGATCTTTTTTGTTCAGTTCCCTTAGAGAAGACAACTAGATTCCCCAAAGAGGTTAGTTTCATTTATAGATTTTTTAAAAAAGATGTATTATTTACTTGACAGACAGGGTGTGTGTGTTGGGGGCGGGAGTGGAGAGAGAAATCTTCCATGCATTGCATGCATTGGTTCACTACCTTCAACAGTAAAGGATGGGCCAGGCTGAAGCTAGGAGCCAGGAATTTCATCTGGATCTTCTACATGAGTGACAGCACTCAAGCACTTGAGCCATTATATGCTGCCTACCAGGTGCATTAGCAGGAAGATAGATTGGAAGCAGAGTAGTGGGGACTTGAACTAGGTACTCCAATGTCAGATACAACTACTTGAAGCATTCTCTTAACCCGATGTGTCATAATGACCATTCCTATAGACATTTTTTTTTTATTTGAAATCACTGGTTCTAGATATCTGTTCATCTCAACTCTGCACTCAATTCCTCACTAGAACTTTGGTCTCCTCCATGCTGACTTCCTGCCCTACATTATTTTTTTTTTCATATCAAGATTTATTTTTTTATTTGAAAGACAGAGTTACAGAGAGGGAGAGAGAGCGTGGGGGATTGGGGGAGGTGATCTTCCATCAGCAGGCTCACTCCCCAAATGGCTGCAATGGCTGGAGCTGGGCCAATCCAAAGCCAGGAGCCAGGAGCTTCTTCCTGGTCTCCCATGTGGGTGCAGAGGGTCTTGGACCATCTTCCACTGCTTTCCCAGGCGCATTAGCAGGGAGTTGGATCAGAAGAACAGCTTTACCCGCTATGCCACAGTGCCAGCCCCCTGTTCTATATTCTTGATGGATTGCTTGCTGCCCTTCCCTTGGTCTGTTAGTTGGAAGGAGAAAAGGATAGGACCTGAGACCACAACCAAACTTCCAAAAGGATATAAATGGGATGCACCACCACAGTGCCCAGTGACGGTGTAGCTCACAGAAAACAGAGGGACACTGACTTGAAAGGAGAGGGCAGTTAACAAGAACACAGCAGGAAAGGCATGGGGTGGGAGGTGGGGAGTGTTAGCAGGCTAAAGCTAAGACAAAGTCTAAAAGTAGAATCTAAGCAAATCCAACTCTTTACCAGAAGGTGACTAGACCCAAGAAGAAACTCATGGGAGTAGATGCAAAACACTAAATTGGAAGCCAGAAAACCTCAGATCTGGTTTAGACCCTACCCTACACAATTTGGGGTAAATAATTTCATTGTCAGGTCCTCAGACAGACATATTATCTTACATTCCCTGGTTTGGGGCAAGTCTTCATTCCAAAGATTTGTCATCAGTTTCTTCATTTCCAAGAGCTGGAAGACAAAGTACCCACTCAAACTGGAAATATTAAAGGGAATCTTCTTTTCTTGCAGAATGCCACAGTCTGTTTATATCACAGTTTACTCAGAGCCTGCTGTTAAGTAAAAATCCCACGGTTGTTATTTTAGTCTGTTGACACTGCAGTTGCATATTCACCATGTGACATCATTACAGTGTAGGAGTGAGATATTTAGGAGTTCCTAAATTAGGGTTGATTGATAGTAACCAGGTGATTTTTCTCAGAATATCTTTTTTTTAAAAAAAAGATTTACTTATTTGAAAGGCCGAGGGAGAGAAAGAGATCTTTCATCCATTGGTTCACTCCTCAGATAGCCACAATGGCTGGGGCTGGGCCAAGGTAAAGCCAGGAGCCCGGAACTCCATCTGGGTCTCCCACATGCGTGACAGGGACCCAAGCACTTAGGTCATCTGCTGTTACCTTCCCAAGGAATGCATCTAGCAGGGAGCTGGATCAGAAGTGGAATATCCAAGACTCGAACTGGCATTCCAATACAGAATGCCAACATTGCAAGCAGCAGCTTAAACTGCTATGCCACAACATAGGCCCCAAAATACCATTTTATCCTGTATTACTCCACATGTGTGAACTCTACTCTAAAAGAAATGTGCCTCACTGTCTTTTCGAATAAATTTATTTATTTATTATG